TTCTACATAGTAGATATGATATAGCATATATAAAAATATACTGATATACATATTAAGGACCAGATCCAACCTCTACCATCATCAAAAGACTCCCTTGGATTTCACAGATAAATATATCAGATCATGAAATCATCCTGATACCATTTTCATCTTAAACTATTTAAAAAACATTGTAAACAAATGATCCACTTGAAGCTGCATTTTCTTAGCTAATTCTCAGCCAAACATCTCCAATGTTTGGGAAGTAACTTTGGATATTGCATTATCACAATAGCAGATTTTTTTTAATCTCAGATTATTAAAAATTGTAAAAGAAAATCAATCAAGCATGCATCTTAGGGGCTTATTCAATGAACAGATGATTCTCTGATGTGTCCAAACAAATTCTGACTACAGAGAAGTTTTCTTTACTTGAAAACACTTCAGGCATGCTTGGGACATGACTTTTGGCTACGCTTTTTAATGCTATCATCTGCTTTGCTCTTTCCAGGAAGCTGCATAATAAAGTACAAAGACTTTGATTCCACTGGATCTTTTCCACACCTTGGGTACAGGAAGCCATAAAACCTGAGGGAAAATAAATAGAAAATGCCTTAAATTCAAACTGATTTCCTTTAACAGCCCCTTTTCCTCACCGATTGTTGCAAGACTAAAACTGGTCTAGACCTTCCTACCTGGAATTGTTCAGTGTACAGTAATGATTGTTCTTCCAAATGGATTTCAACACATGTGATGGAAGGAATTTTTCTTTCCTTTTATCTTGCCTCCTTTGATGGGAAAATTACCCCCCTGCTGTGAGTTACAACAGGGCAGTTAACCATTACAAAAAGAGCAATTTCAGGGTGAGGGAAGTCAAATATGCTACTGTTATTGGTTAACAGTTAAATTTCTCTACTTGCTGCTGGTTTTCTTCTAACTAATAAAGGGGAGAACCAAGCATTTACCATCCTTGAATTAATACTGATAACATTGATCTATTGCAACCTGAAATGAAAATTTGTATTTAAAATATGCTTATGTGTAAAAACCAAAAATGCTGGTGACCTTCACACTGTTCTACAATCAAGTAGTGATACATCAACCATCTGCTATCTTGTGCCAGATTCTACCACTTCTGGTGATCTTGGGCCTAACTTGCAATCACACATCATCTTTGGCATAGGAATAAGCCACTGAATATTTTATTTGTGCACCCATTTCGACACTTCTGCTACTCCAAAATACTGTTGGTCTTTACCTATGGCCATGCTAGTTACAATCACTTTTGTGGACTGTAGTAAAATACCCCTTGAATGGTATCGGCGCATTGCTAGCCTTAAAGCAGCCTAGAACTGGCGGGCAAAATCTTTGTCCAAAACTGGGAGTACATTCTGAATCCTTTGAAGAATTGCAATGCAGAATTTTGCCCATAGTTTAACCTTTACATAGCTAATAGCTATGCCTCTGAAGGCTTCATCTTTCAAATTCAGCTGTTTGCATTTCTGCCCTCTACCCCTTTACTTGTGCTGCAGTGGAATCCCACCATTTTCTTACTTTTAAGGCAACACTTTCAAATTCAGCCCCTGAAAAGCATTCATGACTGTCCAGCCCACCATGGGCTACAGAACTCACCATTTCACACCAACCTTTTCAGAACAATACATTCTATTTTCTTCAGTAATGGGAACAAAGCAAAACAAAACCAGAGTATTTCCAATACAGTATAAAGTCAGCATGTCTTCCATCTTACCTAAGTACAACCACTGCCCCACAGCTAAGAAAAGCTCAAACACTTCAGCCAGTGAGAGCAGAGCCTTCATCCATGAGAATCTGCTCCTTCCAGCCTTTCCAGGGCCTGACCTCTTATCCCCACTATTGTTTCAGTTTCTAAGCTGTCTCCTATCACATTCTCAACAGTAACT